CATCACCGCCGCCGCCAACCGACTGAAGCAGGCGTACCTCGGAGGGAAAGACATTAACAATGACACCGCCACTGCTGATGGCTTCGGGAAACTTTACTCCGACGCTATCATTGGGTTCGGAGCTCACAGGTGAGTGAACGAGTGACAAAGAAAGTTATTTTGTTAAATAAACTTTAGTGTTTCCACTTCTAGTGTATTGATGTTGGGAGTTGTTTACTTATGTTTATAAGTAAGTAAACAACTGAATTATGTAATGTTAACTTGGATTGTGAAAATAGAAAATCGAAGCTTCCATACATGGAATTGAGATAAGTCCCCTTTAAGGGAAACTTTCTTTGTAATGTTCATCGTTATTATTACCCAAGAACGGTATTTATGGTTCTAATAGTATGTAAAGTAGAAGACAGGTCATCAATCATTTCCGCGTTAATGTGTACACTAGGCTGGTGAACCTGGCGGCGCGGCAGTCCCCGCGGCCGGTGTACTACTACGAGTTCGGGTACATCGGGAACAGCAGCCACTACGTCGACCCCGACACCAAGCGACCGATCGGTAACTACCTATTACTTCATTTAAATATTACCTGTTACCTAATACTAGTTTAAAATATTTGACGATGTAACTTAACGTGTTTCTCGCTCGGGGTATATGGTGCAGTCAACTGTGTGACAGTGGTCGAATCGTTTGTCACGCAATGGTGTTTATGAGCCTCTAGCGCACCTAGTGCTCATTGCCAGGATAAACTCTACAGAATTTACGATTTATTATGAGATCGTGAGTCCAATAGAATATAATTAATAGTGAAAGGACACCTGTACAGCTAGTCTATGTCGACCTCTTTGCATGGTTTTCACTATTTTGGGTGTATGAAGCATTGTTGTTTTTATCAAATTACGCTTTCAGCAGAAAGACGATAAAATAGGTTGTTCAAGGAAAATCGCTTTTTGTTAGTATTATTTTTTTCCTACAATATGTCTACATTTCCGAACTTTCCTCATCGTCCAAACCCCGATTTGCTTGTTAACATATTTTCATGTTTCTATGTGATGTAGCTGCGGCCCACCACGACGACCTGCTGTACCTGTTCAACGTGAGCTACAGCTTCCCATCCATCCCGCCGTCCGACAGCAAGGACTCCAAGATGGTGGACAAGATGACTGCAATATTCTACAATTTCGCTAGACATGGGTCAGTTCGCATTTTCTTTTACATACATTTTTAAGGAAATTAACAGTAAATACAGTGATAGCGGAGGATTTATCCTCAAGCCCAACAGTTTTTTGTCGCCAGTCAAATGCTTAAGCGACTAAATGAATTAGTTTCGGACTCGTTCAGTTTGACAAGGTGTGAGAGATTAGATTTCGATCGTCATACCACCTAGTGTTACAAATGACTAACACAATTATTATATCCACGACTACAGGGACCCGAACGACAGGGGCGACACTCCGGAGCTAGCAGACATGTCATGGCCGCAGTTCAAACCAGATGAGAGGAAATACCTCCGTGTCGATACTCCCTTCTCAGTTCGAAGCAACCTCTTCGAAGAGAGGTTCAAGGTCTGGGAGGAACTGTTCCCTCTTGATTATCAGACTTGTAAATAGATTTTTTTACTTAACTAACAATGGCTCCAATATTGGTCCCAGTATTGTTCCCAAGGTAATGCAAACGCGTGGCAGGGGGAGCGTTGTTTAAGGTATCATTGAGGCATGTGCAATGATGTATGTGTGTACCAAAACTAAACATGTATCTAGTACAATAAATTTACAAAATAAAAACATTTTAACATAAAATCTTTTCTATTTATTTATTCAACCCAAATGTCAAATTTTCCTACAAAATTAAAAATATTTCTATTACGATAATAGGCGTGTCGACAGGGTAAAAAAATCAAAAAAGTAATTAGTCCGTCATTAAGATCGCACGAAAATATCAGACACATATTTTTTGTTTTATCAAATTAACAGAAGAATACGTAGTTATTCCGCATTAAAGTTAGGGAGTGGGGGGTGTTGACGTCACACTTACGGAGAAATCGTACCTAATTGTGACGTCACGCGTCATTTTTACTCAAAATATCTACATGTTTTTTTGGATACGAGAAAAAAGAAAAAATACGTATCGAAGATTTTTAAAATATCTAAAAGACGGACAAAAAATTAAAAAATAGTCGCCATGCCTATTACGATGTGAAATGGGCCGGCGCGACCGGAGTGATACCACGTCCTCACGTCGTATGAGTGAGGTTACCGGAGGCCCAATTCCGTCCCCATCTCCAGTCTCCCCAATTCCCAAATCCTCCACAATCCTGAAATTCCCAATTTCCAAAAGGCCGGTAACGCACTTCGGTGTTTCAGGTGTCCATGCGCGACTACGATTGCTTACCATCAGGTGATCCGTCTGGTCTGCTCGTATACTGGCTGAAGCCATAAAAAAATATTAAACGCAGTTTATAAAAGAATGACGAACGTAGTTTATAAAAGAATTATTTCTAAAATCATGAAACAAGAGTGTTTGAAGTTGTGTTTAAAATAGCTTCCAGTGTACCTGTAGTGTACTAGATGGTGTAATTGATATGATGTGTAGTATGCAATGATGTATTAAATTTTATTTGAATGTCATTGGTAGTATGTGGATTTGTGAACGTTTCCACGACAGGAGAAGATCTGTTGGGTTACGTTTTTTGTCACCGCCTCTTGACGCAGGTGACATAAGACCGGACAGTAACGATATCTGAGTGACCCGGTGGACAGTCACAGAGTGTTCGTGAGATACTGGTAAGTAGTATAAATTGACAATAAGTTATATGTCGCAAACGGATCCAATAATTGCCTAAAATTTTGTATCTATCCAGGGGTTTGGGGTATTGCTCTGTCAAAAAAAACACTAAGTAATTCTCGGTCATCCAGCTACCAATTTATGAAAATGATTGTATGTATATTACGTATTCGTCAGTACTCAGTACTATTACTAAAATGTAAGTCCATGTGATGTACGATGTCCAGCCCTGAGTCGAGTATCTATATACTGAATTTATCGAACGTTTCTTCCAGCTTCCACCCAAACCTTGTACATACCTACATTCTGAAAATTATGAAAATAAATAAGTAATAAGTTATCCAATTTGAGGAAAAAAGTCAGAAGTCAAAGCATTTACTTTTGGTAGGTACTTTTGAAACGTCAACAAATACAAAATAAATAGTAGTCTGTCAGTCAGTCCGTCAGTGAAGCTAGGTGAAGGTGCTCAATCCAAAATGTAGATTCGAATGGAGAAGAACGAGCAAGAAACTCCATTCGTTACTCTTTTTAAAAAAGTATGTGCTACAATGTCTCTGATACATATTCCAATACTGTACGTAAGAAAGAAATGCTCGATGCCATAAGGAAACTAGATTGTCTACATTAGAATGAAAACGTGCTCGCTCTGCTAAACGTAGGTACCCCACTTCAGGGAACACGGTGTGATGTTACTAGTAGCACAGTCTATACAGTCGTCCAACGAAGTCGTCTGGACAGGGCAATCCCGAGCTGCGAACAAAACAATGTTAGTAGCTCGGGAAACATTATTCAGGGCTAACGCTTGTTTGTTTTTACGGACTTCAAAAAAAGGAGGAAGCACTATGTTCGAATGATTGTTTCTTTTTAAGTTTGTTTGCCGGTGCATGAAATTTAATTTAATTTAAATTCCTGGGTGTCGTTTTCATGGTTTTCGAGGGTGGTAAAACCGATGGTGCTGTCGAAATGTAACTCTTCAACGGTGTACAGTAACTACCTTGTGTTTAGGTTTGTATAATTTGTATTGATTAGAACATTGTACCTGTAATGTGGATTATAAGTGGCAAAACGGGTCTATGTAGCTTTACTCTAAAAATGATAAAATAAAAAAAATAAAAACTGCGTTTAAAAAACCGACTTCTAAAAGCAAATACCTCTATAAAGTGAAACTATAAAGCAAAAAAATAACTAATTAGTACCGATGAGACCCACTGACCGACTTCTATTCGGTGCCATAAGCTCATATTTTTGACAACCCTGGCCGATGCGTTACTGTCTAGACTATGTCGGCATTTTACACGAGATCAAATGCGTCTTCCTGCTGTATATTTTTTATATTGTGCTCGTAGTGAGTAGCTCGACAGTTACAGTTGTAGGAAACTGGGATTTTGTATTTCTATACCTGTTTTTGAAAAGAGAGAGTCTTTTGTGCGTCGCCACTACCACAAGTGTGTGGGACTGTAGGTCTTGTCTTTTGATTATGTTCGTCATATTGCGATGAGTTCGTGTCAACAGTATGCAGTAGTGTGTAGTGGTTTCCCCGCGAGTCATCTAATTCGAATGTGTCACCAGCAGGCAGCCTGCACGCGCAGGACCGCGGTTGTGGTTTCCTTAATGTATCTAGTAGGTAGTTGTAGGTTGTACTTACTTTTTCCTTAATGTAAGATTATTTCATCTCAAAAAACTAGTATCGCCAGTATCATGTCTGTATTTATATTAGTTCAGAGTACTCAAGTAAGTTGAAAGTATTCAAGAGGAAAATGTAAGCCAAAGAGCCATCAGACCACCACAGATGGGGCCCAATACGGCCGATGCCGATTCGGAGTCGCGGAGAACCTAACGGGTAACCGGGGCTTCGACTCGACGTGCAGGAGAAGGAACGGGGTGGTTTTTAGTCAGTAAGAGTCTGACACTCCCTCCCGCCTCACCCAGGCGGGAGCAGTCATTCGATGACTTTCCCCCCTTAAAAAAAAATCCCTAAAAAGCCGCCAATGTTCTTGTTACTTCCTAGGTGTTGTCCATTGACGGCGCTGATTGCGAACCATCAGGTGATTCTATTCTATTAAAAATTTTACAAAAGCTATTTGAAACACGACCGAATCCGCTAGCAGAAGCTATAGTCCAGTACTAAACTTGCAGAATATTCCGTCTACACCACGGTGAATACTTCACGTGTATTAGTATAAAAGCAAAGGTTTTCCTGCTGGCGGCACAGTCGTGCCCTCTGTGTCCAACAGCGTGACACACAATGTTGTACGCGCTGCTGTGTGCGTTGTGTGTGTGCGCGGTGCACGCACACCAACACAAACATCAGACAGGTTAGTTAGTTATAGACAGTTTGTATCTGTTTTATCGAGACAACATGAAACAATTTCTTTCTCTTTTCAAGCAAATTGCTTGCACAAAATGGTATGCTAGGCTATTTAAGAGGTGGCAACAGAAGCACATCAGCTGATTCTATGATCCGTGGACACCCACAACACTAACGGAGTTACAAGTGCATTGCCGGCCTTTAGGAGATTGTGGCGTGAATACTATCACTTGTTTTGTTTAACACCATATGCTTACAGAGCCAGCAGAAGTGAAGCCGGCCGCGCCACTGACACACAGCGTGTCGGGCACGTTCCGCGGCTCGTGGATGGAGACGCGCCGCGGGAGACGCTTCCAGGCCTACCGCGGGATACGATATGCAGAGCCCCCTGTCGGAGCATTGAGGTTTCAGGTAACAACCGCATATAATGCATAATCTAGCACATACGAGTCCACTGCTAGACTGTAGACCATTTCTAGAGGCTTCTAGGGGCTTACGTGTCAAAATCTCCACGTTTAGCAGGCGAGTAAATATTTCTATTGTCTCTCTCTTCTTCCTTTGCAACCACGCAGTCAAGTAATTCATTTTGTGCGTGTGTGCAGCCACCGAAGTTGAAGTTGCAGTACGAAGGTGTAGTGGACGCGAGCGAGGAGGGCCCAGCCTGTCCTCTGCCGGCGCCTCCCACCTACTACGTTGCCGAGGACTGCCTCACTGTCAACGTCTACACGCCGATACTGAACAGGTAACACATATACACACACAGTAGCACGCACGCTACCAAGCTCGATCTTCACTATTTGCATCGTAACTAGTTCATTATATAGGTGGGAAGCGCTCTACGCCTAAAGAAATGTACGCTTTATTCCAGTTGAAACGGTTATCGATTCTAGAATAAAAGTGGCTAACCCCCAACCACTTCAGCTTGCTAATTTAAAAGATTGGTTTGTCAATAACTTTGATTCTCTTCTCTTCTAGAACTATTTGTACAATCATATTTTCTCTTTCTTTCTAGCACCAAACCGCTCCCCGTGATCTTCTTCATCCACCCCGGCGGGTTCTACGCGATGACAGGTCGTAGTGATTTAGCTGGTCCTCACTACCTACTGGATAGAGATGTTGTCCTCGTTACCATCAACTACAGGATTGGATCCTTAGGTATTAGGCGAACCCCTAAATTAATTACATATTTTTGTTCCTCCTTATTTGTCAATTATGGATTTTACTAAGTTTAAATTGTCTAGGTTTCATGAGTACTGGTGATGCTTACGCTCCCGGTAACAACGGCATGAAAGACCAAGTAGCCGCCCTCAAGTGGGTGCAGAGGAACATTGCAGCGTTCGGCGGTGACCCGAACCTCGTCACGATCACAGGCTGCAGTGCCGGCTCCATCAGTGTCATCTTGCATATGATATCGCCCATGGCGAAGGGTAATCTGCTGTCTTGCGATAGAAATACTTAAAAAAATCAACTTCTGCCAGAAAATGTTGCGTGCATTATCCGGGTTAAGGTTCTTTGTACATTAAATAAAATAATGTTTTTAGGTCTCTTCCATCGCGGTATAGCAATGAGTGCGTCTCCTGTGAGCAAAGAAGTGGAAGCTATAACTCATCAGCGACACCTCGCAGTACGCCAGGCACAGATCCTCAACTGCCCGACAGAGAACTCGTCCGTCATCGTCGACTGTCTCATGACCAAGCCTTGGAAGGAGCTTGGAGATTCTCTGCCTAAATTCTGGGTGCGTTTATTATTTAAATAACATTTGAAAAATGTGAATGTCAGAATAAATGGGGACTACACAGAGTGCTTTAACATTAATCGATGTTAGGCAAGGCTGTGTAGCATCTCCTTGGCTGTTCAACCTATTTATGGACAGCTGTTTGAACGACCTGAAAGTAGGAGAGTCTGGATTAAGGATGAATGACACAGTGATTAAAACATTGTTGTATGCCGACGACCAGGTGCTTGTTGCCTCGTCGGCCCAAGAATTACAACAAATCACTGCTACGAATGATGCATTTGAAAGGAAAGGTATGAAAGTAAATGTGAACAAGACGAAAGTATTGGTGATAGAAAGAAATGAGGTGATAACAGAATGTCAGGTAATGATAGGTGATGAAAAATTGGAACAAGTGAATGAATTTGTGTATCTGGGATCACTATTTACGAGAGATGGAAAGTGTGACGGGGATATTGAAAGGAGAGTGAAAGCGGGAAATAGTGTTAATGGTGCTTTACACTCTGTCATGTCGAGTAAAATAATATCCAGCAAAGCTCGACTTGCTGTAATGCAGTGTATATTGACACCAACGCTTATGTATGGTAGTGAATCATGGGTGTGGCAGAAGAAGCATGAAAGCAGGATTAATGCGGTGGAAATGAGAGCCCTAAGAAGT